GAGAGGAAGCCAGAGCAGAGAGCAAGAGACAACAAGCGATAGAGAGAGGAAGCCATATCAGAAAACAAGAGACAACACAGAGCTATGGTATAGCTTTGCATAGAGACAGAGTGAAAAGAGGCAACTTCGAGCGACAGGAAATAGAAGTGAGGGAGTGAGTTAGGGTCAAAGTCTAAAAAGACTAAAAACCCATTAAAATTTTTCTATTTACAAGTTTAAAATTAGGACAAAACTGATATTTTGCCTCCTGTCCGCAAAATATGCGCGATTGTCAGCAATTTGGCCGCATAAGTGCCTACAATGTCTGCAATACCTTTCCCGCGCATAGAAAAGCTTGTTTTCACACATTTGGCGCGGCTCACAGTGCTATTGCGTTTCTATTAACTTCTATGGTTGCACAATCTCTCGAAAATAATATTTATGCCAATGAGAAGCTTCTTGTTGAAACTTAGAGTTGGACACCTCCCAATAGGGTTCCCCTTCCCAACATCTTTTAACCACCTCTTCAAAACCATCACACATCAGCCACGATGCAAGAAAACGAATATGTTTGGGAATTTTATGGCCCACCTGTCAAGATGGGTCTGTGATGGGAACAAAAGAAAGGTAAGTGGAGAACAAATATGTTTGGGAATTTTATGGCCCACTTGTCATTTGAAATTGACCTATCCAAACACTCTTACAACTACCCACGCTTCCAATTGAAGGGGCCCCCTTAAAGCCCACATCTGATAACCCACAACCACTGAGACACTCAGAAATCTTCCTCAAACTGCCAAGGAAAGCAACGCTTCCTTCTTTCTTCTCTTGGGTTTGGACAATCGAGTTAAAATCCCCCACGACCAACCATGCCTCAGACATGCTAAGACTCAGCCTAGACAACTCCTTCCAAAAAAGTCTCCTCTCTATCCGCCTAGGGCTGCCATAAACGAAAGTAATAACTTCCCTTACGTTATTAGCAAGCCATATAATGTGGAGAATTTGTAGTGAGACACCAGTAAGGATATATTAACATCATCCTGGTCCCACATCACCCAGATGCCCCCAGAGAAACCAATTGCATCCTGTTTAAGATAATTATCAAACCCTAACTGCTTAATCTTTCTATCAGCAGCTAAACCACTGAGACGAACTTTGGTAAGCACCATATCTTTAATGTTAAATTTCTTAAACATGTATCTAATCAAAAGACTAAACCCTTTTTATTGGCCCCACGATAATTCCAAGTGCAAAAATTCATGAGGAAATTAACAAAAAGAATTAAGGGAAAATGACAAAAAAGTCCTTTCATTGAGACGTGGAGTTGATACCAAACAAGGCTTCATCAGCCTTCCTGACAGACTTCGGGTTCGATTGAGTAAACCTACACAAGAATTCAACTGCATCCAGGCTCTTGTCCTCCGATATTGTCTCATCTTTTAACGTCCCCTTTTTCATTACCTTTAACTAAGGTAGGCTCAAGGTTCATATTCTTAGAACTTGACTCCTACAAGTTGCCGACATTAGGTACCATGACCCTATCAGTATTTTCACCAATCTTTATCACCGCTTGTGATGTTCTAGATGCCATATGATCAGCTTTAGGTTTATCCTTCACTTTGTCACCTTTTCTCTGATTAACAGTGTCTGAGGAATTTCTCTTTTGGTGAAAGGAACCTATTTTCCCTTTCGAAGTCAACTTTGACTTAGACCCCTTATGATGGTATTTCTGCACACCTGCATGTTGGATATTCGTTCCCAGCGACTCCGTACCTACTTCCTATGTTGTCATCAGAGCACCCGTCCCAACATTCACCTTGGAAGACTTCTCTTCTCCCCCCTCTTTTCATTCACCATTGCTGTGTTTCCAGGTGTCTCCGGAATCGCTATTGGCTTACGACCTTTACCTGGCCTCTTGATTATCATACAAGCACCAAACATGTTATGCTCGTCTTTTTTCCTCTCCTTTTCTATTATGTTATCACTATCATCCTCCTTCCTAGATTAGGAGTTGTCTATTACCCCCTTTCTCCATAGGACTGGTACTCGATCCACCACTATCAGAATCCTTGGCGAAGTCACGTCCCCCATCACACGCATCTTTTGTGTGACCATAATGTCCGCAAGCAAAACAAATTAGATGTAGACCTTTGTACCCAACATTCAAGAATATGAACTCTTTCTGAATGAAGTCTTGTATTTTGAATCTTGAGACAAAGCTTTTCCTAAGGTCCAACTCAACACATAACCTAGCAAATCTCGCTTTATTAGTGACCTCACCATCGAATCCATCCATGCTTCTTAAGGAGGTTTTATCCACCTTCAAGATTTTTCCAAGCATGTTTCCAATTCTCCACAAGTGTTGGGTGGTGTAGAACTCCATTGGAAGACTAGAAATCCTAAGCCAGACTACAAGCTTTCTCACTGTTTCATCGTATGGATCAAAAAATGGTCTTCATCTTTATATAACAACGTAGTGATCCTCTACCACCCATAAACCTTCGTGAAGTACGTGGAAGTAGTCATTCTCATCGTTAAACCTAATGAGCAGGTGGCCATTATCCAAGTCTGTCACTTCAAACATTCCCACCAGATTCCAAAGCCTCTAAAGTCTAGCCATTAAGAATCTAGATGTCATCCTCTTGCCATGAGCTTAATGATTAGAGCATTTCTCCAATTCTTGCAGTCTTCATTGTGCTGCTTCCTAGAGAATATATAGGTTTAACAGAGGGGATCATCATCCTCTCCAGGCCCTGTCTTATTGGGCAAATCTGCCTCTGCCTCTTCTCTTTTCTGAGCAGCTAACCAATCCTCTTCCTCGCCATCAAATGCATTCCCCTCGCCATTCAGACATAACACCTTATCCAAGTATGAAACCATCCTCTTGCCTTTCCCTTGACAATCTCTTTTGCTAATGGAGATACTGTCATCTGCATCCACTTTAGACCCTTTCTCAACCATTTCGTCATCTATATTCTCATCAACGAGCTCATCAGCTTTGGGTTTCTTGATGCTCTTAGCTCTTGGATCCTCTTCCTCCACCCGAGGGTTTATCTCCAAGGCTCTCCCCGATTTTCATCTCTCTATCTCCATTAATTGTTTTCTCTCTCAAATCTTTGCATTCTATGGCACACTCGAACCAACTCTCTTTGATTTATGTAACTATCTTTTCTTTTCCCTTGCAATTGCCACTTCCTTTTCTCTCACCCTCGCGAATTTCATCTTTCTTTTTTTTGTAAACTAATTTCATCCTTCTTAATTTAGTATCTGTTTGGTATGTCTTACTTTTAATTTCTCCTCTTTAAAAGCAAAAATTTAATCAAACATAATTTTATAAAAGTTCTTATTACAAAAAGAATTTTTTTTATAATAAAGAAAAAGGTAAAAGCTAAAAATTAAAAGTTCCTAAGAACAGTATTTTTTCTTAAAGATGTATGTTAGCATTTTGAAGTCCTCATTTATTCTATAGTTTTACATTTATTCTAAACTTGTATTTATAAATTTTATCTTTTATTCTAATAATAAACTATTTCATATTCCCTCTTTTGAAACCATCATAATGACTATATATAATCACCAAATAATTTTTAGATTTATTTTTTTTGTTTTTTTTTTAACTTCAACTTAAAAGTAACTTTTACCATAGAAAAAAGATGTGTCAAAGAGGCTCTTAAGGCTCTATATTATTTTACCTCAAAACTCATAACATAATTGTATGAATAAAAATTAAAATTGCCAACTTACTGGCATAGTGCCTGTCAATATAATAATAATAATAATAATAATAATTGAAAAAACCTTTAATTGACTTGTTTGTAAAGTTTCAAGTGCCAAATGCAAACAATGTCAAGAATATGCCCCCCAGTATTATGACTAATGAGAACTCCGAAAGATCAAAATTTGTAATCTCTCCCAAATATTGGTTTTCCTAGTTATTTCTAGCACATGACCTGGAATTAAGTTGAGGAAAGTTTCATTCATTGCCCATAATAAACAAAAAAGCTTCATATTCACTTTCATCGATATTTTATTTTATTTCAATTGATACAACGTTGTGTGTTTAAACATTTGATAGTTATTTTTAAGAGAATTGAAGTTGATATTTCCTTAAAATTAAGTATGAAATATAACTATTTATTTCAAGAAAAATATTTTTAGAAAGTTATTTTTAAAAGTATAACTTCTGTTTGGAAGAATATTTGCTTATCCGAATGCAAGGAAACGTTGCATCTAAACACTTGTTAATTTAAAATTTTCCCTTTAAAAATATAGTGTATTATATTAATTTTAGAACGTCAAATAATAATTTGTCCTTTAATAGAGGTATTTTAATTTATCTTATTTGAAGGTATTATTTATAATATTTCAGAGCTTCAAAACAATTTATTCTTTTATTATTTCACAATTGTTAACATTCACGAGCGGAACCATGCTTCTAGTCCTAAAAGAAATAGCTCATACGAATAATAAAAACCCCAAGATTTCCATATTGAAGGCATTTTCAAAAATATCATATTAAGAATTAGGGGATTGTTTTTCTTATATTGCATAAGAAAATAATAATAATTTTTTCACACTCACAAAAGAAAGAGAGAGAAAATTTAAAGTGAATCCCACATAAAATTTTTGTGTGTAGGAATATTATGTTTACTTATGCAACATAAAAAAAATAAGTATTAACAACTCAAAATTTAGCCCGGTGCTACTTTTGTAAGTTTCACATCGCTATAGCCTAAAAGAAAAATTTATACCAAAAAATCTAGATTTCAATATGGCTAAAGCTTCAAATTTTATAATTTTTAAGCTTCCAAGATGGATTGGAATTGGCTCATAGAGGAAGATGCAGCTACAGATCTCTTACCATATTTTTTTGGGTAATTCATGTGTTTGATATCGAATGGCCTGAAAACGAACATAATGAAACCGGTGTTGTCCTACCTTCCCCAAGTTTAAAATACCCTTTGCCCAAGTGACTCGACAGAAGGTTCAGGCCTAGATATGGCCAATAAATCTTACTTACAGTCATAGAAAGCCAATTACAGAACCTCACTAACCCAAAAGTGAGAGAACGAATTAACTGAACTCTCAAGTTCTAACCGCGCTCCCAAGTGAACAATTTACTCTTCCGTTGCAAGAAATTCGGTATCATGGGAGTTAATTTCCTCCATTGAAGTTTAGATTAGCTTATTTTGGGAGTCAAGAAAGTTTTTTTTTTTAATCAAAATCTTCTTGAGAGAGCTGTAAAAAAATAATTATTTTCTCAAAATAATCATTTACTAAAATGCTAGTCTATCAAACCATGTTGGGCCTCTGTGGCAGCAGTAGATTATAAAACTTATCATGCAAGAAGAAATTCTTTCCCTTGTTATCCACAGCCTTTTTCCACCCGCACCATCCCCCATTGACTATTTTCTTCAGATCATCCGTCCCAGTATAGTGTGGATCAAGTATTAAAAATGCGCAATCTCCACTTGCTTCATTGTAATCCACTCCCAAGAGTGTATATGCAAGTACACCACCACCTGCATTCAGAAACCGAAGAGATATCACTAGTCCTACCCGGCAACCAAAAAATTTCTTAGAGCACTGCCAGACAAACTTAACAACACAACAAACTTAACAACACAACTCATATCAAAGTGAATATGCAACTGAGAAATATACTGTGGAATTTCAAACCACACCATATTGGCAGATGCCATAGGTAAATGGCAGATAAAAGCAAAAAAAAAACATATCTACTAACCAATCATAACAGGTGTGCCTTGGTTCTCAAAGTGCAATGCTAGCTCTCGACATTTTTCCGGAAGCTCAGCTCCAGATCTAACATTGATGACTTTGCAAGTAACCTTTCAAAGAAAGCAAACAACCCAGTCAAGTCATTAAAGACCCCAATTAGGGTCATAACTCATAAGCAACATATATATCATGTACTTTGTTGTTAAGTATCAGATCAATTATCTAAATTCTAGCCTATTTTTGGGGTGGGAGGCTCAACATATCTTGATCCTAGTCAGAGAATCATACAAGCACAATGTCCAGTTGGGCCAAAAACCCTAAAGCCCAAATGCATCCATTATATACAGTTTAATTATAAATGAGCAGAACACTTACACCCAGAAGTTTGTCCAAAACAAAGCTCAACTCAATGGCACCAATCCATTCTCGTGACCCAATAAAAGAGGGATCTTTATCACCAATCTCAACAAGTGACTGCTGTATTTCTCTGAGAAAGTTGTAGGTTTGTCAGGCTGAATCATATGCATGAATATGACAAGCAATATTTAGTTTGATAAAAGTGAACTTTGGCCAGACTAACTGATTCATTGAATTTTTTCCTTTTAAATTAAGAACCAACAACCCTTTAAAAGACCAATTTAATAATCCACTACTCACGAAAAATCAAAGTGCAGAACAATTTTAAAACCAGAAGAGACAATAAGGAAATAACTGAAAAAATGATATGTTCCCCCAAAGGAAAATCCATCTTTGGAGGAGGGAAACTGTTAATTAATACCTATGAGAAGGAACTTCTATGGACGAGTAGTTTTGGAGTCTAAACCATGAAATGATAGTCTGGAGAGAGCGATAAGCACAACCCCATCCCTAGAAAATCAATGTAAGTGATTTAGTTTCTGATGCTACAAGGAAAAATCTGCAAGTAAATAAATATAATTATGCCATAAGATGTTCATCAACCAAAGCCTGGTTAGTTACATGCCAAGCTAAAACCTAGCTTAGATAGGGAATTTGAAAATCATTCAACATCACAACTGTTATTTTAAGTGCCAACTGCCAACAACCTCACATCTAAACGGTGCATGCAAGTATTTCTCCAACTTATTGCAAAAGCCCAATCAAGTGCCCTTTTATTTTAAAAGAGAGGTGCCACATATGCCGGACTTTTAAAGCCAGGGTGGCAGCCTGACTCTACAGGGAATTGAAACATTTCATTTAAAGCAGCATAAAAAATAAAAACTAATCCCACTCCAAAACTCATCCGGGCAACAGCAGCCAGACTATATAACATTATTTATTTTATAATAGCACAATGGATTAGACAAATCAAGGAAAGACCAAAAGTCCAAAACAAGCCATTTCTTTGTTTCCCCAAGTTGCATTTCTCATGCGGCTACACATCGGATGATCTCTTTCATTTATTCTACTTTCCTTTCCTGTGTGATTACAAGTTCTAATTTCGTGTTAAATAATGTTCTTATTCATACAGCATTATACATTAAAAGCACACTATTAATAGGCTAGTCTGATTTTTTTAATATCATTCTTACAGACAAATAGGCTGGAATATATTTACAAGATTACATAACAAGAACAACTTTCAGCAACGTACTTTTGTCATTTAAACAACTTAAAACAATTTTTCATGTATCAAAAAGTAATTAGCAATTGCCTAAACAAGATTATGTTATTCAGATAATATAAAAATAAAACCACTACGAGTCAGCAATAACAACTGGGTTATGTTTGTGTTCAAACTTAAATATCCACCACTTAGACAGGTAATTTCAATCAAAGCCAAGGAGAAAAAGAAGACATGTAATTTAAAGAACATGTAAAACCATTAGGAAGCAGAAGAATTGCAATTACCGAATCATTATAACCATCCTGAAGATAATGGAAGTATTCATAGGAACCTTGAACAAGGGAAACAGTTCCCCCAGTAACTGCATAAACCATAATGATTTTGAATGAGACAAAGAAGAATCACTTTCAGAATGAGAGACACAGACCATAATAGGAACTTACCTCCACTGTTTGGAATCCCAGTGTGAACATCTCTGAGCAAAGCTGAACCTGAAATTAACCAAATATTAAGAAACTTTGTGCATATGAAACAAAAAAATAGTTAAGGAATTTGTTAGAATTTATAAAAAATATCTCATAATATCTTGATTGTATTACAATAATTTAGAATATCTCTTAGGATCGGTCTCCATATATCCATATATTTCATAATTTGTTTCCTTATTTAATTAGGATTAGGAGTCTTCTATTAGAATAAACAGAGCTAAGTGTGTTGCCTTTTATAACACATCATGATACACCATATATTAATATTATATTCTATTATTCAGAGTTTGTTCTCTCTTTTCCCTTCTCTACCTAAATCCCTATAATTACAACAGAATTAATATCGGAAAATACAAAATGGAAAGAGGCAGATGCAATCATAACTCTCAGCACATATAGAGCATAAAAAACTTTCCATTTGGATGTACATATTACCTTTCTGTAGAGAGACAATACCACTATTCTTCAATTTTGAAAAATCCAAGGAATTAGCAATTCTTAAAAGGGGACGATCATAAGGTAATCCCAACCTTGAGTGCAAGGATCTCCTAACTTCAACTGCAGAAAGCATGAACAATTCATAAATCACTGACACATGCTGATAAAAGAAATGATGTAGAGTGGATAAGCCTAAAGATTCAATAGATACATTCCTCTCTAAAATATACCAACAGTATATACACAGTATAGATTTAATCTATTATTTTTCAAATTGAGACAAGTACATGGTAAAAAAATTTACCCTATCCATGCCAGAGTTCAACACCATACCTTGCTTCAGTTCTGTCTCCCCAAAACTCAGTTCATAGAAAACAGTTACTGGATGCAGAATCCCAGGAGGACTAAAGTGATAACATTTTAGCTGACAATTAAATAAATTACAGTCAATCAAAAGAACAATAAGTATTAAACACATGTGAGCGAAAAAAAGAAAGAAAAAACATTACTATGAAACAACATTATAACTAAATAAATAATAAGTTAAAAGACAAAGATTAAACAGAAATTACAATTATATATTCTTCATAGAAACAAAATCAATTTCTTTCATGAATTTCTCCAGATCCATCACATATAATAATCATAAAGGTGTTTGGTAAAAGAAAGAATAGTTTTTTTTTTTTTTTTTTTTCATATCTAAATTTTACTATGGGATACTGTGTAGCAGGATAGTTACACACAAATTTTATAGCATTGGTATCTCACAACGTCTACATATCCGATTACTAATTTTGTCATCCACACACATAATTCTTAGTACCCACCAAAGAAGATCGACATAGATCTGGTTCTTTTAACCAAATAATCTCAAACTATTCCACAACAAAAAATACAGATCACCAAATGAAGTATATTTGAAAGTTCAGATGCATAATGTTATATGTAGTCATCCTGCTGCATTACAGTTCGTATCAAATGGACATTGTCACTTTTAGCTGTGATTTATATATTACAGAAAGAGAAAATGTACACATTTGAGAGTCGTGTATTTGCAAGACTAAAGCTAAAAATCCATTTGAAATTGCACAATGATATAGAGGAATAGCAATACGTTACTGTACATCCATTAACTATAGGAATATGATCTTTTTGTGAATTGGCCGGAGTCATAGTGGAATAGTACAACCATGGAAAGCTTAAGTAACTGGATAGATGAATACATTGCCTCACCTGAGGATGTTGTGTCAAAAGATTAGGCAACATCAAGTTCTGCAGTATATTTAACTGGTCAACTAAGCCAGGGATGATTAAACTTGAAACTGCATGTTTCAGTGGAAGCTCCCTGGAAGAATAGCAGAGTACATCTAGCTTAATATCCACAATAAGGAGTCTGGCTTCTTCCTGGACTGAAAGCAATAATTCAACTTCAATTAAGAAATGCTAAAACCACAAAAATCAAAGTAAACAACTTTTTTTCAATGAGCAAATGTTGGACATCAAGTAAGTATGATCCTCAGATCCTAACCTGGAAGGTATTCTGCAACAGGCACAGTAGATGCTGATGATGACCCTAAGCTATTAAAGTGAACATTAACTTGGATAGTATCTGCATTCTAAGCAGAAGAAAATTTCACAAAATGGACAATAGTAGTCACTTGACTATTCATGAAGCACATAGAAGAAAGGGGGAAAAAAAAAGACAGGATAAAAACAAAACCACAAATACCATCAGATAATATAAGCACGAAGTAAACATTTAAAAAGAAAAGGGGAGGAAGATCAAAGCGAATATCATAATCTTTCATGTTACCTCAACAGAGAAAACTGGTGAGCCTGCTTTATTGTTCATGGAAAAGTATGAACACGCTAGTGAGCTTGCATCAAAGCCATCATCACCCTCAGCCAAAGGCCTGATCTTGGAGAGGTCTGTGCCAAAGTCTAATTCCGCACCTCGAATTATAGCAGGTGGAGGCAGATCCAGAGAGGTTTTGTTTAATGTTTCTAATATATACACCACCTGAGGGTCCCTTAACTTGGCAATAACAGCTTCATTTGCCCGTACAAATGCTTTCTCAACATCTGTGGAACAAAATTTGCCCAGAATTTACTGCATTTAGAACATAGTGAAATATCCATCTTAGATAATTCACGGATATCCAGATATTATCTTACGCAGCTCTATATACTAATTACATTAAAATTGAATTAACGAACTTCATCTAATTGACTGCCAGCTTTTTATGTCAAATTCAAAATTTGTAATGTGGATCTCTTAGTTTACTGTAATTGTCCACTATCTTTCACATGTAATATTTGTATAGCATAGCTTATGTATAAGGGAAAATCAACAAATGTAGTGAACAAAAGAAGAAAAAAAGAGAGGGAAACCTACCAGTTGGATTTTTGACAGGGTAATACACTGGCAACTTAATTGGAAGCTCACAACGAAGCAAGCAACCATTCTCCCACACACACTTCTCCGGATGTTGTTCCTCTATGACCGACGAAACAGATTCGAGGCTCGTTGCATTTCCACTCTCGGACACAAAAAATCGCAGGTCGCCGGAATCTGAACTGGAAACTGCTCCGATCACCGCTTGATCGTCGTCCCTTGTTCGTTCACCATAAAGAAGCTTCCTCAATCCACGTGCAGCATCTACGGCAGCACGAGCATTGGTGTCGTCTCCGGAAGCTAGGGCTCCGATTATCTCAAAGCCTTTCAAAATCAAGGTACGAAGCTCCTCTGATTCTTTGCTTAAATCTGGAGAAGAAGACGAGGAAGGGAGGGTGTGGATGCATCGGAGGATGGAGACGACGGTGAGTGGTGGCAAGAATGGGGATCCAATAAGCCAGTGGTGGATTCCCGGGTCGGATCCTATGTCGACCCGTTTTGAGCGACATAACAGTCTCACGCTACGATTGCAAGCCATCAAAACTCTCTGCTTTCCCTCGTCGATCTTTTTTCAAGTCAATTCAACAAATGACAGTGGAATCAAACTGAAACGAAGGTTTTCTTTTTTTCTGTCTCTCTTTTTTTTTTTTTATAAAAAATCCTCATAGCAAATACTTATATTATAATAGATATGATATTTTTACTACTAAATAATATTATTATCAATGTCACTACTATATCTTAACGTTAACAGTTGATTTTTATTAATCAACAGTTATTATTTCCACAAATTAAACTCGTTAATTAATTATTAATTCACAATAAATGATAATCATTAATTGACGAAAATCAATAATTAAGATATGGTAATAACATTATTAGTAACATTATTTAATAATAACAATATCCTATCCCATATTATAATACGCTTTATTACAGGTATTAAAAACCACGGTAAATCAAAAATTCAAGATGAATTAAAAATAATAACTTAAAAATAAGACATTTATTAATGCTATGTTCAATTTGTAATTGATTATACTTCTTAAAAACATACCCCTATAAGAATGATTAATTAGTAGAAATATTTTTTTTCTTTGGATACAATACTCCTCAAGATATTAAAGAAAGATTTCAAAATTTGATAGTTGCATAAATCTAAGTCAAAAAATGTTTATAACAATACAACAATGTTTCCAATTATCATGAATTTAGTGCATGATTAGCCTAGGTATGTCTCAAAACATGTACACTTCGGGATAAAACAAAATCTTTCTGTTGTTGGATTCCCTGAAAGGTCAACTTTGGATGAATTATGAAGAACGGTTCTTCTTTTGAAGCCAGAGAGTTTGAGGAAAACATTTAGAATGATTATCTGAATCGAGGATTGATGGAACTAGATGTACACAATTGCATCCTTCTTCCTTAGAGGAATCAATTCCAGAACTTGATGTCCCCATAATCTCTTGAAATGACCTATTCAATAATCTTTCACCTGATCTGAGCAAATTCCCTTCACCACTTCTCAAAGTCGTTCCAAAATCAGAGGAAGAAGTTAGAGTTTTGTCCTTCATCATGGGTTTTTGAGAGGTGTAATCACCATATTCTGATTCACTTCCTTGTTCATTAGACGATTTCTGTTGAATTCTGCGTGAACAATCAAAGAAACTGAAAGATGACATCTTCAGCCTGTACTTAGAATCAGAAGTACATGGTACATAATTGATCCTCAACTCAATGTTACAGCCCAATATGAACTGCAAAGAACTTGCGATCAATTTCCATGAATTCTCAGCCTTAGATACATGGTGGCGATGGTGGAACTCCAACTCGGCAATAGCCAGCCCTGAAATTTGGGAGTATCAATCATTTATTACTCGTTACTTAGTACTAAAAACTAAGTACATTTGGGAAATACGACCATATTTTTTCTTATCAAAAAGCATGAGTGGAACTAACGATGACAAACGAGAGAAGTATGATCACATAATATTAAGTTTAAGATACAAATGGTTGACCAAGATTATGGAAAAGCAGCCAAATCTGATAACACATACTTGTTCAATCATAAATATTATTACTGTAAAACCTTTTTTTTTTTTATTGATAGTAAACTATGATGAGAGCACATACTGGAAGCAAAATTCTCAAAGAGAAAGTGTGACAAAAACACCCAACATAGAAAGCGGTTATAATGCAAGAAATTTTTAAAATGAATGGAAAATGAGTAGCTCTTCCAAAAACAGAAAGAAGAAATTACAAGATGTTGTGCGATCAACATGAAGTGAAGACAACTTCCCCTTCTTCCTGAGAAAAGTTCTGAGCTGACTAGATTGACACAACTCTGTAGCTTTATACCATATGGAATGCAATGTTCCTTTGCAATCCTCCTGCACTCTTAATCTATATGACTTGTTATCACATTGACCGGGAGCAAGATGCTCTAAACTCTGCCCTGTAGAAGATACATTGCAGTAATCACCATCTGTATCCATTTAGGGAATAAGGAAAAGCTTAGAATAGAGATTTTCTACATGAGAAAAACCACTCCCTTTCTGCTAACCCCACCCAACACACCCACTAAGGAATAAGAAAAAGTAAGCCAAAGAAAAAAGTCAAGCCCACCTCCATTGCATGCACCTCTGAAACACAACTTGGTATCATTTGTATCCACAGATGGACAATCTACAGAGCTTAGCTGTAGGAGAGCTACAGTGAACCATGTTGTTTGATTCTTCGATATTCTTAACTGCTTCTCAGTTTCAGAAAGTATTCTCAATGCATGGCTTAGTTTCTGCAGGTCAGCTTCAGCTATGATAGAGAAAATAACCAGTCAGACAAGAGACATAAGATATGATCAAAATAGAGTTCAGAATATGATAAACTATGGTTTAAGCACTTACAGGTATATCTTCTAGAAAATCTACTTCTGACTTCATAACCACCACCATTTTCACATTTCCCTGCAAGGATGTCCATAATGAGATTTGCCAACTGTGATATAAGTTGCAAAGGATCTATCCTTGATCTCATCAGCTCCCGAGCTCTTATAACTGTATTTGAAGTGTCAGATGAAAAAGCCAGATCCAGCAAACCAAGCAATTCATCATCAGAAACGATCCCAGTCTGCATAACAACAAAGGCAAGCCTGAGTACCAAGGAAAAAAAACATATATAGAAAGTTTTGAGGAAATACATGTATGGAACAATAGCACTACACTTACAAGCTCGTAGGCTAATGAAACTGTGATCTTTTTACCGAGCAAACTCAACTGATCAAGCATCATTTCTGCATCCCTTAATGAACCACAGGATTTAGCAGCAATGAAGTTCAAAGCAGCCTGATCAAAATCAAGACCTTCCTCGGCACAAATTTTTTCTAATCTGCATGCAATGTCAGCATCTTTAATCTTCGGAAAGTGATACCTCTGAGCCCGGGAAACTGCACTTCGAGGAAGCTTATCCAAATCAGGAGCAATCATCACAAAAACCACACGCTGAGAAAGGTTCTCTAGGCTATTTGAAAGGCTGGCCCATGTCTCCCCATTCAATAACTGGCACTCATCAATAATGAAAACCTTAAAACGTGAGTAAACTGGAGGGATACATGCATTCTTAACAAGGGATTTAACTTGGTCTATACGATTGATTCTCACAGAATCCACTTCCTTAACATCTTTACTTCTTCCAGAGAAGAATAAAACGCATTCTCTACACAGGCCACATGGTCTTTGCTCCTCAACAGAGAGACAATTCAGTGCAGCAGCAAATATCCTAGAGGCAGATGTCTTGCCTGTACCACGTGGACCATGAAAGAGATAAAATGTTGTTATCCTTCCTCTGGAGATTGCACCCAAAAGAGACCTTACTACGACATCTTGTCCCACCAAATCACTAAACAATTTAGGCCTAAATTTCATAGACAAACTTCTAGGAGTTTCCAAATTCGGACTAATTTCACCACCATTGTGTCTCATGCTTCTATGTCCATGAAGATCTTTCTCATCAACCCGGTCCAATATCAAGGAACGGTCTTCTATCTCGCTATAAAGATTTGATTCTCTAAACCTTGGTGATTTTGACCAACAACAGCTTATTCCACATCCATTATCATTATCATCTAAAACATTGAAATGATTACTAGGAGGCACGGTACAAGCCAAATCAAGTCCATTAACCCCACTACTACAGCTTTCGCTTAGTGATTTATTTCCAGAAATGCAGTGCTGATTCAGATCAGAGTAAACTGGTTCATCATTTTGTTGGTCATTCTGACATGAGATTTCACTAGGCTTCAACCTTGAGTTAGACAGGCCACAATTCAATACAAAATCAGCAACATCATGCTCTCTTTGTCCCATAAAACCTAAATTCTTTGATCTCAAAGCAATATTATTGTCAGAATCAAACGCACGAGTAGCATCCAAAAACCGCAGAGAAACCCCATTGTCCCAACCATTCTCCCAGTGCACATTATCAATCAAAGAAGAGAGTTTGCTCATTGATGGATCCCTCAATGACCTGACTCTCCTCAATGCTCCAAGAGTTTTAGAAATAGGAATATCAACTGAATGCCGTCGTCCATCCATCATTGTCTCACACTCACTTATATAATCAAAATCCACTGGAAACAGTGCAACCCTTACCTAAAAGAGAAAGATAACCTCAACACATCGAAAGGAAAAGCCAGATAAAAAGCTACACACACAGAGACAGAGTTTGCACATAAAACAACCCAACAAAGCACAAAAAAAAAAAAAAAACTACACACACACACACACACACAGAGAGAGAGAGAGAGAGTTTGCACATAAAACAACCCAGCAAAGCACAAAATCACAGTCCTTCAAACCTCCTATACACCATTCCAGAAAAGCACACAAATGCAATGGGGTCAAAATCAAAACAGAATTTCACAAAAAAAATTAGGTGTAGCTTATTGTCAACATATGTATTTGACCTTCAAATTTCTAGTCACTCTGGAAATAAAAAACAAGAATAATTTAACGGCCATAAAAGGTAACTGGTTTCTCACTGAGCGCTTTGCAAGAGCAAACAAAATAATAGTAGAAATTGCAGTACCTTCAACAAGAGAAGAACGCAGAGCAATGAGTATTGAGCGATCCCATTGAGGCATATATATAAATATGAATAAATAAGTAAGTTGCTATATGTATGTATGTGTGTACGCATATAAAGAAAGAAGGAAAGGGAGGGGGAGTGAAGGAATCTGGAGTTCAAATTTCAATGACATAAAATATTGTAGATGGAAAACAAACAAACCGAAACGACAAAGTTTTAAATAAATAACACAAACCTGCTAATAGAAACAGAAATAGAAATAAGCATACATTCTTCGAAACTGAAGAAGGATAAAAGAAAAGAACAAAAAAAATAAAATTGAATCCGGTAGCGTAGAAAGCGGGATGTTGAAAAACTTGACTCGCTATGGTAATGGTGTTATTGGTGTTGATATAAAACATAGAAAGAGTGAGTGAAGTGGCAAAACAGTAAATGTCGTAAATGCGAGTGTGTGGTTCAAATTGTGACTGGAGCCAACGTGTGCACGGCACAAGTTAAGAGTTGAGGGAACAAAATTGTGGTTTCGGTTTCAGAAATTTGTTTGGTTCCCACTGTGGCACGAGGAAGAGCAGCAGGGGTATTCTCGTAATTTCATCGAAAAGGTTTCAGTTATTTTAGTTGGAGCGAAAATAAAGCTGTGACTATGGTCGGGTTCTGCAGTGTGTAGGCGCTAGTCTACTTTCGACACTCTTGCTTTCTTTCTTTTTTTGGTACAACTTATTTCTTTTCTTTTCTATTTTTAATCAACTTTTCTAACGAACATTTTTTTTTTTTTTAGAAACTTGTAAATAAATTATTTTTATTTATTTATTAAACTATATGTTGATTTCTATGTAAATTATTAAATGATATTTAATTTTATTATAACTTCTTTAAGACACTTCTTGATGAATGCGAGAATCAATGAAGCAGCATTTAATAATTATCTATTAAAGTTACTTAATATGAATTAAAGAATAAAAATAAGATTTTAAATTTAAACCACATCACCTAATGTGGTATTTCCGCTGGGATGGTCATGGTAGTCACATTAACTCTTAATTGTGGACCACATCAATTACAATTGACTTGCATTAACTCGCAACGCAACCATGACCGTGACACAATTTAAAATTTTGAATGAGAGTCTTGACAATAAGAATATAAAGACAATGTTAACCCAAGTTGAGTTGACAACACAGATTGAATAGCTAAGAAGAGAATTATAGGCTCATAAATGAGTTAAAATTTGTAAAAAGATGAGAGGCTCAAAAAGGTAATTAAGAATTATATATATATATATATATATATATATATATATATATATATATATATATATATATATATAAAGAAGGTTATACTTATCATCTATTTTCGTTTATAATCTTTTACAATCATACATTAACCGTGAATTTTTGTCAATCAACAATTATCATTTATTATGAATTAATAATTAATTAATGAATTTGATTTGTGAAAATAATAACTGTTGATTGGCGAAAACTAACGATTAAGATATGATTGTTAGAGGTTGTAAATTAAAATAGGTTGTAAGTATAATCTTTATATATATATTTATGTATATATATATATATATATATATATGGGAAAAAACATTTCTGCAGTTGCATTTATTTCAAAAACGACGTCGTTTTGGTATTGAAATCTTAAAAAATTATAAATGTAAAGACTATTATAATCGTGAAATAAATTAAAATTACAAAACACCATGATTTCTGCCCTAAAACGGCGTCGTATTGGGCTTACTGCAGATAAGTTATCTGCAGTAACTGCAGAAAAAGCGAACCCTATACATATAGGGAAAAAATATTTCTACAACCACTTTAGATAAGGTTATCTTCAGCTACCATTTATAATTATGTTCTCCCGAGAGAACATAGTTATAACATTAAAGTTGTTTTTTTTTTTCTCTCTCCATGTCAACAAAAAAGTTCTGAAAAGTAACTGAGAAGAAAAAAAAAAGTAACTTTAATGTTATAACTATGTTCTCCCGGGAGAACATAGTTATAAAATGGTAGTTGTAGATAACCTTATCTAAAGTGGCTGTAGAAATACTTTTACCATATATATATATAAATATATATATATATATATATAGGGAGGGTTATATTTACAAATTTTTTGTTTACAAACTATACTATGTACTCCCAGGAGAACACTATGTTCTCCCGAGAGTACATAATGTAATTTGTAAAAAAAGTTTGTAAACGGATCCTTCCCTATATATATATATATATATATATGAGCATGATCATTTGATACCGATGTCAAACTTTGGAATTTGATGCAAAATTCTATCCGTTGATTTTCGCCAATCAACTGTTATTATTTATTAGAAATCAAACATATTAATTAATTATTAATTCTCAATAATTAATATGTTTGATTTCTAATAAATAATAACAGTTGATTGACAAAAATTAACGGTTAGAATTTGGTGTCAAATTTTAAAGTTTGACACCGGTGTTAAAAGATCTTGCATATATATATGTGTGTGTGTGTGTGTGTGTGAGTGTGTGTGTGTGTGTGTGTGTGTAGGATCCTTTGACACCTCATCTGAGAGCCATTAGATCAAAAAAGATTAATGGCTCTGATTTGTAAGCATGTGACACCATTGATCTTTTTTGATCTAACGACTCTCAGATGAGGTGTCAAATTTCAAATTTGACACCGGTGTCAAAGGATCCTACCTCATATATATATATATAAATATATATATATAAATATATATATATATATATATATATATAATAAAAAATATATTGATTAGGGGTGGGGGAAGCATTTGAAGTTTTTTACTAGTATTCTATTTTATTTTTCTTCTTAAAATACTAGTAATTAAGATGAATTTTTAATCATTTCTTGCTTTTTAATTAAACAAATAATTAAATACATTTTTGTTGTCAATATAAGGTTCAAAAGTCAAACATCTACTTTAATAATTTTACAACTCCCCCTTTGAAGTTCACCCTTTATTGTATGCTAATAAGATTATCTCGATTGAATTAAGATATTGCACAAAGAAATTTTTTATATACTGCATTACTTGTACGCATCATGCCAACAAGTTATCATAAAATCTCCTTATTACATTGGCTCATGGTCAGGAGCCAAATATTTATTGATTCTATAATTTTTAGATGTGTGATTTACGTTCTAACTACTCCACCACAATACACAAAGATGAATCCCCAAATATAATTGGGAATATGTGTTGATATGAATCTCTTTATATAATATATTGAAAGGCTTTAATGATTCTAAAGTGAATGTAGATAAGTTATCTACATTCGCTAAGTTATCTACATTCGCTCTAAAAACAACGTCGTTTTGGGTTAAAAAATTATAATAGAAATGACTATTATAACCCTGAAATAAATTATAATTACATAAACACATTGATTTCAGCCTCAAAACAACGTCGTTTTGGGCTAAAATTAGATAAATTATTTACATTGACCGTAGAAAAAGCGAACACATTGAAATAATGAATGGAGATTTGGTTAAATAAATATTTGATTATTGTTATCGATCTTTTCAACATGAGGGAGAGAGAATAAACAGTTAGAAAAATATAGAATGCGATAACATTATCTTATATAGATCATCTCTCAAAACAAATATGAGAAAAAGATATTATATATGACTGCTAGATGGTTTCACTGACCAATAAATTTAATATTCCAATTGTAAATGCTCCAATTCATATTGATAAACTACACTTAAAACATGGAAAAATAATTGGTTCTAATGATAAAAATCCTCAAAAAGAGGAAAAGAACAAATGATCAAGATGGTCAAAATATGGAAAAAAAATTGTTAATTCTGAAGACATAACTTTTATTAAACCTCGAGGGAGGGGTTCAGGTACCTGAAAATAATGAAAATGAAGAGATTTATATTAATTATGTCATTACACAAAAAAGATGGAACCGTAAAGATATAGTTGTCGACAATATTTTCATAAATAATGAAACAAGACAAGGATCTTGAACCAAAAATTGTTGATGAATGTAAATAGAAAAATAATTGGCCAAAATATAAAGACGTGTTGCGACTTCGGCAAGTGTATCGGTTGTAAAAGTAATAAAATGTATGAGTAAGAGATCATTCCCATGAGGATTAGATTTCAACCACTAATTCACTATTTATGCTTAAGTTGGACAATTGATCAAGAGAATTTAATGAAAACTAAATTAAATAACAAAACAAGAACGCAAAATATGAGTAACTTGACAATCAAAAAACTCAATTAGGGGTTCGATTTCCCTCAATCTCCCTTTTATATTATAAATTAAAACCCTTAACTAATCGCCCTTTTTATATTTTCAATCATTCCCCTAAGTTAATTAGAACTCAATCCCTTGACATCCTAATTCTTTAGTATCTTTAAAAGAATTCTAGTTCTCCGGCAATTTCTCAAGAAAATAAGCAACAAACACAAAAATAACAAGATATTATAAAACTTTACATCTATCCTAGAATCATAAGGATTATGATGAATTTATCATGCATGGTTCATGTACCAACATTCTTATTGTCGTACAATAATCCTAAATCATTCTACAAGATCAAACTCATGGAAAGATTTACGAGAAGATAAATTCATTCAATATAAAAAGGAAAAATTATCCCTTCAAAATAGAATTTGTAAGCTTAACATTTTGACTATGACACGTACAATAGATGTATGCCTTAAAAACTTGATGCAAATCCACCAGCTATTACTTTTTTCCGTGATAAGCATTTCATCTAACAAAATACCTCATAAATTAATGTATATATTCTACCATTAAGTTGTCAGACATCCATAAGGGACAAAAAATCAGTACAAAAAAACTTTAGAATACATTAAATAAGAGAGTCGTATCAAAATTTGTAATTATTTATGAAAAAGGAGATAACTACAAAAATTTTACATAATAATCTCATGAAATTTTAATACGACTATTTCCATTTTCAAATGAGAAGAAAGATCGTGTCTTTTAATAGGGTTTGTTGTTTCTCATATCATAAGAGATAAAATTATCTCTTATATACACATAAAAATATATGGAGTTCATGTGAGGGCATCTGAAGAGAACTAGAAAAAAAATATGAGCCTTACATATTTTTATGTATATAAGGGATAAAATTATCCTTATAATATAAGAAATATAAAAAAAAAGTTGAAATTTAAAGAAAAATACAAATAATTATGTAAATTATTTGATTGGCCGTGTTAGAAGTTATCTTTAGATAGATAGAGAAATAGCTTTTTATTAAAAAAAAATTAGAAACTAAAATAATATAAAATTTCTCTTGAGGACCAACCTACGATTTTTTTCTTCATTTTATAT